AGGCTGGGACATGGGAGAGTTTAGGCCCTGAAATTATTGAACTCAATACTGAGTCCGAAGGGAGGGCTGCAGGCTCCCCAAGTGGAAAATGAGGTGTTGTTCTTCCAGCTTGCGTTGAGCTTCGCTGGAACACTGTAGCAAACCAGGGACAGACATGTTGGCCAGGGAGCAGGGTGGTGTGTTAAAGTGGCAGGCAACAGGTAGTTCAGGATCTTTTGTGCGAGCAGAATGTAGATGTTCGACAACGGTGCTGGGAAATGCTCGGTTGAGGAAAAAGGTGGATATTTCGGAGGTTCCCGTGTCGAAGTTGGCCTCATCTGAACATATGCGACGGAGGCGGAGAAACTGTGAGAATGGGATGGAGTCTTTACAGGAAGCAGGGTGTGAGGATGTATAGTTCAGGTAGCTGTGGAAGTCGATGGGTTTGTAATGGATATTAGTGGCCAGTCTATCCCCAGAAATGGAAACAGAAATGTTGAGAAAGGGAAGGGAGGAGTCAGAGATAGACCAGGTGAAAGTGAGGGCAGGGTGGAAATTGGAGGTGAAATGGATGAAGTTTTCCAATTCCAGATGAGAGAGGGAAGCAGCACTGATGATATCATCAATATATTGGAGAAAGAGTTGTGGGTGGGGTCTGGAATAGGACTGTAACAAGGAATGTTCCACGTACCCCATGAAGAAACAGGCATAACTAGGTCCCATGCGGGTACCCATGGCAACCCCTCTTACCTGAAGAAAATGAGAGGAGTTAAAAGAGAAGTAGTTGAGGGTGAGGATGAGCTTGACCAAGTGGAGGAGGGTGGTGGTGGGTGAGGATGGTTCAGGCCTTTGCTCCAGGAAAAATTGGAGAGCCCTAAGACCCTCCTGGTGGGGAATGGATGTGTAACGGGATTGCACGTCCATAGTAAAGCGGAGGCAGCTGGAACCGGCAAACTGTATAAGGCGGTATAAGGCGTCAGGTGAATCATGGACGTATGTGGGTAGGGATTGGACCAGGGAGAGAAGACTGAGTCAAGGTAGGAAGAGATGAGTTCTATGGGGCACAAGCAGGCTGAAACAATGGGTCTACCTGAACAGTCCTGTTTGTGGATTTTTGGGAGGAGGTAGAAGTGAGCTGTGCAGGACTGGGGAACTATCAGCTTAGAAGCAGAGGCGGGGAGATCACCAGATGAAATGAGATCAGTTAGGAGAGTAGATACAATGGCCTGATGTGTCATGGTGAGGTCATGGTCCAGGGGAAGGTAGGAGGAGGTATCTGAGGTCAGTACGCCAGGCTACAACAGCACCACCCTTATTGGCAGGCTTAATGAGAAAGTTAGGGTTAGATCTGAGTGCACAGAGTGCAGTCAGTTTGGAGGGCGATAGGTTGGATTTGGTGAGCAGGGGGCAGAGAAATTGAGGCGACTAATGTCACGTCGACAGTTCTCAATGAACAGATCGAGTGCAGGTAAAAGGCCGGAGGGAGGAGTCCAGGCGGAGGGAGAGTGATGGAACTGGGCACAGGGGTCTGTGGGACGGGAAGAAGACTCTTGCCCAAAGAAATGAGCACGGAGGCAAAGACGGCGGAAGAAGAGTTCAGCGTCATGTCGTACCCGAAATTCGTTAAGGTGGGAACGGAAAGGGATAAAGCTGAGGCCTTTGCTGAGTACAGAATATTCAGCATCGGAGAACGGAAGGTTAGGAGGGACAGTGAATACCCGACAGGAGGTGGGGGGGGTTGGGAGAGGGGATGGAGTCAGAGGGAAGAGGAGGAGAGGAAGGTTCCAGAGGGCCATGGGGTATCTTTGAGTTGTTGCATCTTGTGGCTACTGGAATGTTGGCACTTATTTTAAGGCAGTTGAAGTATAACAGCAGGGAAGCCTTACTGCAACCATACAAGGTGCTGATGAGACCACATCTGGAGTTCTGGGACCGGTTTTGGGCCCTTAATTAAGGGAATGTATCTCATTGGAGGTAGTTCAGAGAAGGTTCACTAGGATGGTTCCTAGTATGAGGAGACTGTCTGATGAGCAAAGGCTAAATGGGTTGGGACTCTATTCATTGGAGTTCAGAAGAATGAGAGGTGGTCTCATTATAACATATAGAATTCTTAAGGGGCTTGACAGGGTAAATGCTGAGAAGACATTTCCCCTTGTGGGGAAGGCATTGTCTCTGAATAATGGGGCACCATTTTAAGACTGCAATGAGGAGGAATTTCTTCTCCCAGAGGATTGTGGGTCTTTGAAACTCCTTGCCACATGGAGCTGTGGGGGCAGAGTCCTTGTGTATATTTAAGAGTGAGATAGATAGATTCTTGATCAAAATGGGAATCATGAATTTTGGGGAAAGAGCAGGAAAGTGGATGTGAGGAATGTCAGATTAGCCAGGATCCTATTGAATGATGGAGCAGCTCATGGGGCTGAATGGTCTACTCCTGTTGCTGTTTTTAATGGTGTTATGGGAAGGGGAAGGGGAACGGGGTGGGGATGGGGAGTGAGGATGAGGGGAAGGAGGAAGTGGTGTGATGATTCCTGCATATGATGATTCATGCAGGACTCAGTTCCAACACTCTCTTTAGAATTGTGTCCTTCATTACATAATGTTTTTCACTGTTGCTCTTACCAAAACGTATCACCTTGCACTTCCATACATTAATTTTGTGTGCCACATGCCTGCGCAGTCCACCTCTTGAAATCAATCTCATTTCATCATTTCTCTGTACATAAATCTAGCTCTCTCCCCTGTTTTAAAACCCTTCTCCAAAGCTCCACTCATCCCCGTCTCTCCTGCACTCCCTGTCCTTCTGTTCTCCTCTGTCCCCACCACCTGTTTATGTGCTGCCACAACATCGACTATTGAGGTGAAAGTTATCTGTTGCCTTATTCTTGAAGGCTTTAGTCATCAAGTGGTCCTCAATAAAAAATTGCCAGTGAATGTATTTCTGAATAGACTATTACTGACATGCTGTGGAATAGTTTATATTATTATCACTTTCAATGTGACAGTTTAGGTTCTGGTTCCACCTAGTGGTTAGTCCTCCTATTACCAGTTACGCAGTGCTGCTTAAATTAATACATGAACAGTATGAATAAACAGAAAGAGTCTGTATAATAGTTACAAAACGTCTGGATGTCCCAAAGAATTTTACAGTCGACGATAATACTTTCATTCCTTTTACAATGTGTTTGTATTTTATTGTAAAAAAAAAGTAGCTGTCAATTTTCATATAGCAAATTATAATAGCAGTGCAGTAAGGATTAGATGATGTTGACATGGATCAATATCAACGTGGGCACTAGGAAACTTGCCTCCCTTTCTTTGGAGTAGACATGTGGTATCTTTTATGTTCACCTAAGAAGGAAGATGGGGCCTCCTTTGCTGTTTTAATCCAGTTGTAATATATACCTTTCATTACACACATTCAATAACAAGCATACCATTTAGGATTTAAGAAATTTATGGCACAGTGGTAGTGTCCCTGTCTCTGGGCCAGAAGGTCCAGGTTCAATGCTGAGTCTGAGGTCCTGTGCAGTTTTAAGTGATGGAGGGTAGAGCATTAGTGAGTCTTACATATTTAGGTGCAGTTTATTGTGTGATAGCTGAAGGTAACAAACAATAATAACATTTCGGGCCTAGACCCTTCTTCTGAAGAAGGGTCTAGGCCCGAAACGTCAGCCTTCCTGTTCCTCTGATGCTGCTTGGCCTGCTGTGTTCATCCAGCTCTGCATCTTGTTATCTCTTATACCTGAGATACTACTGACTCTCTCATTCCACACAAGTGCAAAACAAATCCAACTTAATAATAGTGTAAGGACTACATATACCTCTTTGAAATATAAACTGGAAAATGGAAGATTACAAAGAGTGAACATTTTAAAATTTGAAGCAGAAGTGGAACTGTGTGGTGTTCACTTATTGGTTCCATTTTGTTTGGAGAAGCTGGATTTGATACTTATGTGAGACTAGCTGGCATCAGGTGCTTTCAGATCGGTTAAAAAAAAAACCTGCCCAACACCAACATAAACATAAGATCCTTAGGGAAGTAATTTTCTTTAATGAATTTAAAAATTCATTCTCTCCATTAGTAAGATCTCATGTAGAAATCAAGAAAGTTGCAACTGCAAGATTGGCAGCAGAAATGCTGCTGATGATGATGGATTGGTCAATAAACTAAAACCCTTTTTCCATCTGGATTATTAATCCATTAACATTACCATTATGCCACTGCCTTGACATCCATATTAGACTATGTTTCTGTGTTCTTGGAACAGCTCACAAAGGCCTGCAATATACCTCAATAACACAGAGCATTAAAACAGTCATGAAACAATAGACCCACATGCATGCCAAATCCCCAAAATTTCAACCAGGGATGAGTTGTTCGTGTGACTGCTTTTACAAAGTGAACCATTGAAAGCACAATTTGGGGTTGATTTATAGGGTAGTTAAAAGAACTCCAGATCACTGGAAAAAACACGATACATTACGTCAATATGTTGAAGCAATATCATTGTTGGGGTCAAAGAGTTGTACAGCACAGAAACAGATCCTTGGTCCACCTCATCCATGACCAGGTGTCCTAAATTAATCTAGTCCCATTTGCCAGCATTTAGCACATATCCCTCTAAACTCTTCCTATTCATATATCCATCCAGATGCCTTTTAAATATTATAATTGTACCAGCCTCCACCGCTTCCTCTGGCAGCTCATTCCATACATACACCACCCTCTGCATGAAAAAGTTGCCCCTTAGGTCCCTTTTAAATCTTTCCCCTCACCTTAAACCTATGCCCTCTAGGTTTTGGACTCCCCTATCATTGGGAAAAGACCTTGTCTATTTACTGTATCCATGCCCTTCATTATTTTATAAACCTCTATAAAGTCACCCCTCAGCCTCCAATGCTCCAGGGAAAATAGTCACAGCCTATTCAGCTTCTCCCTATAAGCTCAAACCGTCCAACCATGGCAACATCCTTGTTAATCTTTTCTGAACACTTTCAAGTTTCAACAACATGACCTCCCAATTCCTGTACTCAATGCACTGACCAATAAAGGCAAGCATAACAAACACCTTCTTTGCAATCCTATCTACCTGCAAATCCACTTTCAAGGAACTATGAACCTGCACTCCAAGGTCTCTTTGTTCAGCAACACTCCCCAAGGCTTACCATTAAGTGTATAAGTCCTGCCCTGATTTGCCTTTCCAAAATGCAGCACTTCACAATTATCTAAGTTAAACTCCATCTGCCACTCCTTGGCCCATCTGAACAAGATCCGTTGTACTCTGAGGTAACCTTCACTGTCCACTATACCTCAAATTTTGGTGTAATCTGCAAACTAATCATACTTCCTTTGTTCACATCCAAATCATTTATATAAATGACGAAAAGCAGTGGACCCACACTGATCTTTGTGATACACCATGGATCACAGGCCTCCAGTCTGAAAAACAACTCTCCACTACCACCCTCTGTCTTCTATCTTCAAGCCAGTTCTGTATCCAGATAGCTAGTTCTCCCTGTATTCCATATGATCTAACTCTGCTAACCAGTCTACCACAAGGAACCCAGTTGAACACCTTACTGAAGTCGATATATGTTGTCCACCACTGAAGTCACCAGACCCAAAACATTACATTAACTCTAATTTTTTCTTCACAGATGCTGCCAGACCAGCTGAGCTTTTCCAGCCACTTTGTTTTTGCTCCTGAGTTAGAGAGAAGCCTGCTAAGAACAAAGTTGAATTGGAGGAAAGCTTGCTACGAAAACTCTCTGCATCGGTTCAGGGTGAAACCGATATGTTTTATTGAAACAGCAATTGAACAAACATCCCATGACTGTATTTCCTGAGCAAGTTGTGTCTGCAAGACTTCAGTGTTAACCATACATGATTAATGACAATCGTGTGCTAAAGCACAACAGAAACAGACAACAAAACTTCCTATGCTGGTTTTCCCTTTTGCCTTCAAAAATAATCCATTGGTTTAATTGTTTTATTTTTCAGAAGGCTAATCTTTGCAGAGAAATTTTTTTTTTTTTTTCTCATTTCTTCAAATGTGTGTGTTTTGGCAATATTTAGAGGGATAAGCATTTATACTTATTGTGTATGTTAACCACTTATTGCATTTTTTGAATAAGTTTTGTTTTCACAATAAATCCATAATTGTGTTTATTAAGAAACCTGGTTAATAGAACTTTATGTATAAATACCTAAACTTTAACAAGTTTTGATTGGTCATCTTAGTAACTGGAAAATGTACTTTTATGTTGCAACCCATGCAGTAGTGAAACTAGAGCAATGATACATTCCCCCAGCCTCAGTCATAACATATTACTGTTTTTCATTTCACTAGAAAGAGTTCACTGTACTACTTTGGGCTGTCACTCAGCAAACAGTTGTAATACGCCTTTCTTTTGCAATTAAAGTATTTGGCATTTCTGTACTAAAACACGTATAGCATATGGTTGCTATTCAAAGACTGAACTGCTATCATCCACTCACCTTTGACTTGGTATTACATCTTAGACTTGAAGGCCTTCTGACTAAACAGAAGCTGTACTAGTTACTGCCATAGGACAAAATTCCTAAGCATTTTGTACTTAATGCTTTTTACATGGAAAGAGCATTCTTACATGTTAGCTCAAATTTGTTCAGTAATTTTGAGTGGGTTCTTATGTCCACCGGTGCATACAGAGATCAGTCTTGTAATCTATGATGGAAGAATGTGTCGAAGGTGCGATATCGTGATAAATTGTTCAGTGCCATGGTACTCACTAACTGTTTCACCTTCCTGATATCTGATTCCAAATTTGTAGTTCTTTGCCAGATCCCTAGTAGCTTAGGATTGAAAGGTTTCTCTAACTTAGGCACGACTCGTTTTTATTAAAAAAAAGACACGACCATCTTTTCAGAGAGAAAAAGTTTATTAGCATACCATACATTTCTGGGTCAATTTCCAGTAGGAAAGTACTTTCTTGAACTCAGGATTTTCCTTATTCTCAGTTTTGACCTCTTCAATTTCACCTTTAAGTTTCAAAATATTAGTAGCTCTGAAAAACAAGTCCATTTTATTAACATACGAATTGAGTGATTCTCAAGCTCTTTCTTACGTTCCAAACCTCCTAATATATTCCAGGGCTTCAACCACATTGCCAATTTGCGAATTCCACTGTGACACAATAAACAGTTTATTGCAGTCATCAGTGGACAATGAAATTCATATATGAGCATTAACAGTAAAATAACCGATCAATTAATTTACGTAGACAAACTCACCCTTAGCCTGTCTTGTCCATGACTGAAAATATCCTCTTTCAATAGATGAGATATTAGGCAGAAACAAATTAGGGCTCTGCAGCAATCTTTCAACGATGGAGACAGTTCCAGACACTGACATACTCCATGACAACTGCTAAAGTCAATAGAAAATTCCAGTTTTCCTCTCTTATTCTGGGGTTATAGTCTCCTTCTTGGATTCCAGTTCAGGAATCAGTGTCAGGGTCTGCTGACTTGGAGCAGTCAAAACACATTGTGGAGTGAATGGTCAGACTCCAGGAATTTCAGCTGAAATTTGCACCATCCTAACCCTAACAAGCAGGATACTAGGAGTTGGCTCCTCCTGTTCCTTGCAGTCAATGCCTACACTTGTGGTTTTCCATAGCATCAACATATGTAGTATACTGGGTGACATTAATAAGGATGAAGAACACCAATATTGTCACTTTAAGGAGTATATATGGTGTTTACCATTAAATTATTAGCATAATACATAAGCACATTACAAGGTTTGACTTGGAAACCCTCCCTCAACTTTGTATTTATGTCTGTATCACAATCATTTCATGCTTTAACCCTAAAGTGGAAAACATTTTTCAGCTTGCTTCCAATTTTCACCCTTCTCACACATTCCATTTCTGACACTTACCTTTCCTTCATGGACTTCTGTCACCATTTCTGGGAATAGGCTATGAACTAATATTCCTCATAAAACCAATGACACAAAAGCAACCTCAACCTGTCCTAATGATACAACCTTCCGCATCAGCATGTGATATGCCTTCCCCTTTTCCTTCACTAAGGATTCACCTCCACACCCCACGATCATTAACGATACCCATAACTATGTTTAAACCATGTTGTGTTCTCATTTTCTCTACAACCTAGAAACATGACAGGGTTTCTCTTGTCCTTATCTTCTATCCAATCAACCTCTGTATTTATATTTCTGCCACTTCCAGAGTGATATCATCACCATGTTGCTCCCTCTCCTTCCCTTTCAGCATTCCAAAAGGACTTATCACCGTAACACCCCAATCGTTCCTCAGTTATTCCCAACTACTTGCCTTTTCTTTCCTTTGTTACCTTTCCATACAAGTGTTGGAGATGCAAAGTCTTCGCTTTTAGCTCTTTGCTCCACAATGTCCAAGGCCTCAAACATTTCTTCCAGGTGAAACCACAATTTAAGCATACACCTTTCAATTAAGTAGTTTGCTTTTGCTACTTACAACACAGTCTGCTCTATGTTGAGGAAGCAAAATTCAGATTGAATGGCTGCTTTGCAGGACATCTTTCCTCAACCACAACTATGTCTGCCAAGGCTCTAATGGTCAGTCATTTTAATTCTCCACCTTGCTCCCACTTTGGTCTCTCTGTCCTTGTCCTATAGTAGTATTTCATTGAAACCCAATGTAGGCTCAGGCGATAGAATTTCATCTTTCAATTAGGCATTTTAGATCCTTCTGAACTCAACACTGTGTTCAACAATTTCAGATCATAATCGTTAATCACCATTCTGTTTCCTTCTCTTTGCACGTTGAGTGGTCCAAATCTTGTTTTTGCTTTGGGATGACAGGTATTCTTTACCGTATCATTCATATCTCATCTGAACAATGTTTTTGTTCTTTAAATTCCCATTAGTACTCCTTTTGGCTCTCAACTCTTTGGTTATTTACTATTATCCATTTTCAAACCTCTCACAAGCTTTTCCTTTTGTTCTTTTCACACCTTGCCCTATCTGACCTACTTAAAACTGATTAACCTATGACAGTTTTAGCTTTTCCCAGTTCTGATGAGATGTCATTGTCTGAAATATTAAGTCTGTGTTTCTCTCTCCAAAAATGCTCCCAGATGAGTATCTTCAGATTTTCCTCCTATTCTGTATTGATTCTCTTTGTTTTGTAAACAGGTGAAAGATCAATTAGCACAGCAATTTCTCACCAGTGAGTGGATGTGGGAGGTGGGGAAGACAGAGAGAGGGGGGGAAAAGAGTTAAATAACAGCACTTTACATTAAAATGATGCCTATTTCCACAGTCCTTGTCCTCTTGAAATATCCACCACAGCTTGCCAAGTCCTTAAATTGATATAAATTTCAAGATCATTTATATCACACATAAGACCAAATCATTTACATAGATGGAGCAAATAAAAGAGACGTCAAATCATTAGAGCACACTGAAAATAATATTCAGAAAACCTATGCAGTATAACTTGGATAAATGTGAGGTCATTCACTTTGGAAGCAAAAACAAGGAGGTAGATTACTACCTAAATGGCTGTAAATTGGGAGAGGACAGTGTACAGCAGGACCTGGGTGTCCTTGTGCACCAGTTGCTGAAGGTAAGCATGCAGGTGCAGCAGACGGTAAAGAAGGAAAATAGTACGTTGGCCTTCATTGCGAGAGGTTTTGACTACAGGAGCAGGGATGTGTTATTGCAGTTGTACAGGGCCTTGGTGAGACCACATCTGGAACATTGTGTGCAACTTTGGTATTGTTTTGAGGAAGGATGCTCTTGCTCTTGAGTGAGTGCAGCGAAGGTTTACCAGGATGATTCCAAGAATGGTGTATCTGATGTATGAAGAGAGATGGACTAAGTTGGGATTGTTTTCACTTGAGTTCAGATGAACGAGAGGGATCTCAAAGAGACTTATAAAATTCTAACAGGACTGGACAGGGTGGATGCAGGGAGGATGTTCCCGATGTTGGGTGTGTCCAGAACCACGGGTCACAGTATGAGGATTCGGGGTAGACCATTTAGGACGGAGATGAGATGACATTTCTTCACCCAAAGAGTGGTGAGCCTGTGGAATTCATTACCACAGGAAGTAGTTGATACTAAAACATTGAATGCATTTAAGAGGTGACTAAATGTAGCACTTGGGATGAATGGGATCAAAGGTTATGGGGAGAAAGCAGGATTAGGCTATTGAGTTTGACAATCAGCCATAAGCATGAAGAATGGTACAGCAGACTCAAAGGGCCAAATGGCCTCCTCCTGCTGCTATCTTCTATGTTTCTGTGTAAAAGGTCTTTAACTCGTATTCACCACTTTATATTAGACACCTGTCCCTTGATGTGGTTACTTTCCCTTGACTTCAATGGGTCTGGACAAAATGTAGAAATTTCTGAACTTTCAAAGTTTTGTTTTCCCAATTAAATACAGTGGAATCTCAGTGGGAAACCCAGATACACCATGTCAAGAGGTTGGTGCTGAAGTGAAGATAGTTAATTAAAGAAAGCCCTAGCATAGAAAAAAAACTGAATTAGGCTGAGGTACTACCTCTGGAGAACAACAGAAATGTACAGTATTGTGCAGAACTAGATTTCTCAACCTATCATGTTTGTGCCAGCAAGTTGTTAAAGTCATCCTTGAAGGTAGCAGGATAGGTTGATAAGGTAGTTAAGGGAGTATACAGAACATTTGCCTTTATCAGTGTAGCATAAATGCTGGAGGTGTACAGGACTTTAGGCCATAGCTGGAGTACAGTCTGCAGTTCTGGACACCATACTGTAAGAAGTATGTGATCACAGTGAATGGGACATGTTAGCGATGAAAAGAAGCTGGATAAATTCAGGTTGTTTTCTTTAAAGCAGAAGGCAGTTGAGAGGAGACCTGATTGAGATGTAAGGTCATGATGGGCCTAGATAGGGTGAATAGAAAGCTGTTGTTCCCCTTAGTTGAAGGGTCAATTTCTAGGGCACATAATCTTAAAGTGAAGGGCAGGAGGTTTAGAGGAGGCTTGAAGAAAGTTCTTTTCACCCAGAGGGGTAGTGGGAATCTGGAATGTACTGCAGGAAACCACACAACCTTTAAGAAGTACTTAAATAAGCACTTGGAATGTCATAACATGAAAGGATATGGGCCAAGTGCTGGAAAGTGGGACCAGTGTAGGTGTAGAGTAGTTTTTGTCAGTCCAGACTTGATGGGCTAAATGCTGTCTTCTGTGCTGTACAATTCTATCATTAAATTAATCCCACTTATCTGCTCTCTGCCTATTTTCCTTTATCTTCTACTTCAAATATTGATCTACACTTTCCTTAAACAATTCTGGAATCTCTGCCTTAAATATTTTATGACAGCATTGTTCTCAAAAACCTTTGTAACATCTCGCTTCATTCGTATCTTAAACTGATGGCCAAACTTTCAATCTCCTTTAAAGTCTTTCATAAAACTTTAAAATTTTCCTTTCAGCTTTCTCTGTTCTAGTGGAAGCAATTACAATGTCACAAGTCTCTCAAAACTACAGTTCAGCAGTATTACAAAAAAATGAAGTACGGTCTGCCACAACAAACAGACAATATTGGAGAAACTCAGCAGGTCTAACAACAACTGTGGAGAGAGTTAACATTTCAAGTTTTGTATGACTTCTTCAGAACTGTCATACTTCACTGTCTGTGTGCCCATACTGGAGTGAAAATTATCCTATTTCTTGTTTTCCTACATCAGTGTCTTATTGCACAATATTCCACATTAAGTTACATCTGCCAGCAGTTTTCTGACTTATTTCCCCAGTTGGGATTAGCTAGCTCAATTGGCTAGAAAGCTGATTTACAACGTAGTGACTCCCAACAGCACAGGTTCAATTCCTGTACTGGCTAAAGATACCATGACAAAACTGCCTTCTCAACCTCACCCAAGGTGTGGTGACCCTCAAGTTACATGCACCACAAGTTGTCTTTTTTCCACAAAGTCATTACAGTCCTTTGTTGGTCAAATATTTCACTTTTTATTATTAACTTATTATTAGTAACTTTGAGCACAATGCTTTCCTGGGTCAGGTAAATCATACAAGGATAAGTTCCCATTCAGCCCATCTTGCCTTGCCATCCAAAAGTGCAATCCCACATTTCCTACTTTCTAACTCAGTCCGTAATCCTATATTGGTTATTGATTGCTCTGATAACAGACAATGTATATGTTCTATCTAGGCCACTCAATTTTAGATGCCTCAATTACGTCTCCCTTCAGCTGCTTCAGTTCCAAAGAAAATAATAAAACAGCCAATCCAATCTTTGATTACAGCTTTACTTCTCATTTCTGGAAACACCATAAATCTCCTTTGTACCCTCTCAGAGTAATCACATTCTTACGGGATGCATTACACTAGCACAATTCCAGTATAATTTTTCCCTCCTTTCATACGCTAAGCTTTGAAATACCACTTTATCCATCTAACATGATATCTTCAGGGATCTATGGCCATGCACTCGAAGGTCTCTCTTTTCTGCTACATCTCTCAGTATTCTCCCATTTATCACTTTCATTTACCTTGCTTGCCCTCCATCCCAAATACATTACTGCTCTGAATTAAATTCAATCTATCAACATCTTCCTGCAGTCCAGAATTTTTGTTTTATCAACTACACAGCCAATTTTCTTATCAATTGCAAATTGTTTAATCACACCCCAACTTCAATAACAAAAATGTGTCTGAACTTGCTATCTAACACTGACCTATTTAAGGATACTTGCTACTTTCCTTAGGTCCCATGCATTTTTAATTTTCTAACCAGTATGCCATGTGGGGCTACATCAAAAGCCTTGCTAGAATCCATATAGATGTTAACGAGTTAACTCCTCAAAAAACAATCAAGTTAATCAGACAGGTCCTTCCTTTTAACAAATTGTGCCTTTCCAGACAACTGTTTCACTTTGTCCACTGCTGAGGCTAAGCTGGTTAATTTCATTACTCAGTGTATCCCTCCCATTTTAACCATTACTACAACATTAGCAGTTCACCAGTTTTCTAGCACACCTGTAAACACAGGGGATTGGAATATCATGATCAGATCCCTTTCTATCTCTTTCCTTAAATTTCTTAGCAGCTTTGATCGATTTCCTCCAGGCTTGATGCATAGTCACATTCATGGATATTATTAAACCGCTTAATACTTCCTCCCTATGGTTATTCCTCAATTATCTCCTTGTGTGAAAACTGACAAAGATTCAGAAACCATCCCCATACTTCTGTTACTATATGCAAGTTACCTCTTGGTTTATAATTGGCACGATCAAGATTTATCCTTTTGCTCATTTTAAAAACGTCATGGTGTTTTTCTGGATTTACCTACCTATAATTTTTCAAGTCCTTTCTTTGCTCTGCTAATTTCTTTTATTAATTTTACCCCTGCACTTTCTATACTCTAGGCTTTGTTCAATATCCATTTCTTGGCATCTGATACAAGCTTCTGTTTTTTGCCTTATTCTAAAACTCTTTCTCCTGGCCTATTTTTATCCTTTTTATAACTATACCAAATAATTGTAAATAAATACTAAAAATTTGATTCACTATTACCAAAATGCTCCCCATTAACACTCTATTCATAAATCCAGCTTCAATCCTTAAAATCCACGATGTAAAAAATGCTTCATGTAATCCTGTGACTGGGCAACACTTACTGAACATCCTGTCTGTGGCTGCAGAGCCTTTGGTTCCCCATTGCTTTCGACATGGAAACGTCTCAGCCA